TGGAGAAAAGTGAAAGGCATATAATAACGAGTTCAGGAGTAGATGAGTAACCCTGCTCCCCTGCAGAAGGCAGAACCAAGATTTCTCCTTCTCCTTCTCCAAAAGGACACAATGTCTTCTTTTGCAATTTCAGTTTTGCATTGCCTACTTTTACTCAAAGAAAGGAGCTCTTTACTGTCTGCTCTACTTCTCCACTGGCTGAGGATGTTAAGTTTACACAAACCCAATGATATTTGTGAGTATTCAACAAATTTCATATAACTGCTGTAGACAATGACAAACCCTCAGTCACGTTGTAAGGAACAGCATTCTGACGGCTCCGCTATTTCAGATGGGGTGGGGGTACCTGAGGCCTCCTAGCAAAGTTGTAACAGAGGTGAGATCTGAACCAAGGACTTTCTGGCTCACAATTCAGCAATTCTGCCACAAAGCTACACCAGTTCACATGATTAAAGTATTGTTTCCTATCTCTTACAGTCACCTTCAGGTGGGTCTTAAACTTTCTTCAGGCACCAAAACATAAATGCATCTATCCTCCCTGCTTGTATCATAAATGAAATTTTAATTCTGCTAGGTTTAATCACCTTTGAAGGCTCAGTGTGACATTTGCAGCTGTGCCTTTTAGCTAGGCCAGCCTTTCCCAAGCTGTGGCCCTTAGACTGCCGGTAGATTATTGTTTAAAATGATTTTTAGGCCACATTTAATGTTAGAGCCCCTCTGGGCAGCCTATAATTCAAGGCATTATAGAACATATAGAATCCAATTCAGTTAAAAAATATTTTGCAAACTACAAATCAAGAAACTGAATCATCAATAAAACCTACTGCTATGGAAAGACCAGCAAAAGCATGTGGGTCTTCAGAATCTACAAAGAATGGATCTGTTCCTGGAGGTGGGGCAGGGCCTCTGAGTGACATCCCCTCCCACTACCTCTAATTGCAACTCAGAGATAGCAGTGGGAACACCGGCAGCAGAGGCCTCCGGTGCCACTGAACCTAAGAACCCGAGAACGCCATGCTAGATCAGATCAACAGTCCATCCAGTGTGACACTCTGTTCACATAGGGGTAAACCAGCTACCCACCGGATCCCTCAACAGGATGGGTACAATGCTTCTATCTGTCCAAGCTCTGCAGCAACTGGTATGTGCAGCCATTCCGCCTCTGATAGTAGGCAGCACATACTAGCAAGGCTGGGAGCTACTGGTAGTCTCCTCCATGAATTCCCCTTGAAAGCCATCCAAACTTGTGGCCATCACTAGTTGTCGCTGCAGTGACTTCCCTGGTTTAACTGTATGCTTTGTGAAGAAATCCTTTGCCTGTCCTGAATCTCCTCACCAATCAGCTTCATGGAGTGACCTCTTTGGATTCTAGCATTATGGGAGGCGGAGGAGCAGCTGCTCTTCACAGTGCTGGCTATGCTTGCATGCTGCATGCTGTTGCTATGGGGAAAGTCCATTATGGAAAGTCAGGGACTCCGTGCAAAATGGGTTGGAGAGACAGCAATGCCATCAGAGGCATGACTGTAGCCACTGTCACAATCCAGTCTCGGGGGGGGGAGGGGGCAGTGAGAGGCAATGTTGTTCTCAAGCTAAACCTGGTCTCCCTTCTCTGGATTAGTCTGTCTTTTATTTTACTCTCCTTTAAATTGTTTTATGCTTCACAACTTTGTGTTTCTGTAATATTTTATGACAGATGACTATTTTAGCCTTCTGATACTATTTTGATGAAGGGTAGTCTAAAAATATTTAAACAAATTAATGACTAGATTTATCAGAAGTAGAAACAGGGAAGCACTGTACAAGACTGATTTCCTTTCAGGCCTAATTCTTTTGGTGCTTCTTCTAGCCAAAAACCTTGGAATGCTCTTAGAGTCTCAGGGGAGGATAATTTGATTGGTTTTGCAATCAGACCGGGGATATTTTAAAGTGCTTAAAAAATAAAGCAGATTAAAGCCTATGGGGGTAGGGGAATCCATAATGTTCACAATCTGTGTCTCAATATTGGCAAAGAGCTGGAAGCAAATGGCAAGAACATTTTGTGTCCCTAACAATGCCGGGATTGTAGAAAGGAGTAATAAATATTATGGCATCAGAAAGAAATTAAAAAGGCTTGGGTTCTTTGGAAGCAATATAATGCAGCAATGTAAAATGCATGCAACCAAACAAGGATTTTCCAGTCAGAGCACAATCTTCCTTTGAAAGCATCTAAGTCCAGAAAACCTATTTTAATAATAAAAAACTTCTTACTGAAATCTTATTTACGATGATATTGAGACATAGTTGCAGAACATTATTAAAAATCATCTGAAGCTCAAATACATTCTGCTGGGGAGATTCAGCCTGTCCTTCTGTGACTGGGCTGAGAGCCCACAGAGGCCCCTCCTGGAGGAAGCCAGGGGAGTGGATTCTCACCCATCTCCCCTCTGTTGGAGCTCCTGGCCCCACCTTTCACACTGTCCTGGGGAGTCCCAAGCTTACCAAGCAGCATTTTGGAAGAAACAGAGGGTTGCAGGAGCAAGAGGGATTGGCAAAAATAGTAATTTTACCTTTATTCTATGAGGGTAATGCATAATAGACATTGCCAGGTTTTTACAAACTTATAGTGTGTTGTGTAACAGCTTTACCTCAATGTCATACCATCCTCTTTTGAAGTTCCTGCCACGTTGCTGATTTCAGCTACGTGCCAGCAGCAACACCATACTCCCAGCTCAGGGC